ATAAAACGTTGAGTTACTTCTCTTTATAAGTTTTGTTTGCCAAAAAGGAACCTTGAAAAGATCACAGCAAGTTTTAAGACGAAATACTGTTCTAAGTTCTAGGGAAACACTGCATTGTTGAAAATTTAACCCAGTATCTCGAAATATGACTGAGTTTGCAGATATGCTATTTAATAAGGTATTATTATTATTTATTGTTATTATTTATTTGTTTTTTTCTGAGACAGGTTTTCTCTGTGTAACTCTAGCTGTCCTGGAACTCACTCTATAGACCTATCTGGCCTCGAACTCACAGAGCTCTGCCTGCCTCTGCCTCTCCGAGCGCTGGGTAGTGAGGTATTAATTAATGGAATCTTTAGGATGAGCCTTAATCCAATAGGACTGCCATAAAACAGAGATTAAGGCTAGGGAGATTGTTGGATGGGTAAAGTGCTTGCCATGCAAGGGAGAGGACAGACCTTAGGCTCTCTAGAACCTATATAAATTTCCGTGCTGGCCCACCTGGAGTTCCAGGACTCAGACACAGGGACACAGGTTTCCTAGAATAAACTGTGTTGCTGGATTAGTCGTATTGGTGACCAGTGGGTTCAGCCGAGAGACCCTGCTTCGATGAATAAGAAGGAGAGCAGCCAAGAAAACTCCTCAGTAATCAAGCTTGGGCCACCACTGCATGTGAACACACTTGCATGTGCATTGAAACACACAGATGGACCCATGCCTACACACACACACACACACACACACACACACTTGTGAGAGAGGAGATTAAAAGAAAGCTACAGGAAGAAAAACTTGTGTGGTGCCTTGAATGAAACTGCCCCCCATAGGCTTATAAAGTTGAATAATTGGTTCCCAGTTCATGGAACTGTTTGGGAAGGATTAGAAGGTGTGGCCTTGTTGAAGGAGATACATCATGGGGGTGGGGTTTAAGGTTTCAAAAGCCTGCTTCATATGCAGTTAGTGCTCTTTGCCATGTGTCTGTGGATCAACATGTAAGCTCTCATCTTGCCTGCCTTCCTGGTGCTACACTCCCTGCCATGATGATCTTAGAATTTAAGTCTATAACTGCAAGCTCGAAATAAACTCTTCTGAAAGTTACCTTGGTCACAGTGCCTTCTCACAGCAATATAAAAGTCACAGTGTTTAGCTAGTTCCCCTTGGGACACTTATTTTTTTCTCCTTGACAAAATTCTGCTTTCTCCAGTTTCTAAGATAGTAAAAAAAATATATAACACTTTCTGTTTGGCACAACTCTTGCCGTTATTTCAGCAGATGCTAAATAATTATAGGCATGCTTAGCATTTCAAGAGTATGTTTCCTTTTAAGTCTTTAACGCACATATTCACATTTATGTTTCAATTTCCACGAGGAGAAGAAACAAAATAATGAAAATTGAAAACTTCCAGTCTTAACTATCTGCTAAATAGAAGTGGGACAGGGACTGAAGAAATGACTCAGCCACTAAGAGCATTTGCGACTCTTGCAGATGACCCTGATTTGTCTCAGCATCCACATTGACAGTTCACCACCTTTCCTAATTCCAGTTCCCGAGGATCCAATGCCTCCTTCTGACATCTAGGTATCCTGTGCACACATGGTACATAGACATACATGTAGGCAGAATACTCATAAACATAAAATAAAATAAATCTAAGAAAAAGAAAAGGAAACAGGGCAGGTAATGGGTGAAGTTACCATCCAGTGGTGATGAGGACTGATCTCTCCTAGTGCTTGTCTAAGTTCACAGACATCCAAGGGCAGGCATCCTATGCAATTGGCAGATGTGTTGACATCAGGAGATCACCTATATCATGCCCCTATGTTCAAGGCTGGAGGATTTAAAATATTTGAATAATGACAATGAGGGTTGATACACAGATTTTTTTTCTTGATAAAAGCTTTTTTCCTTCATGTCTTAGAATCTACCTGTTTTGAATGTCTTCAGAAATATGATAGTACCTCACGTTTCCCCAGTGCTTCTTCCTGGAGGAAAATTGAAGTGCTCTGCCTCACATGAGCCCTTGTAGAATTCTGATGTGTTTGAGTTTGCCGCGTGTTCTACAGAGCACAAGAGGGGATCGGCCATTAACCAGAACAAGCTCTGTAGGCCCATGGAAATAGTAATTAATGAGCAGGGTATCAGTTAAAATTACCTTGGGATCTGATCATTTGGTTGTCTCCATGGTGCCTTGAATGGATTAGATGTGTTAGAATTCAGGTGAAGATCCGCATGGCTGTCGGGGGATGGGGCTGCACAAGGACTTGTTAGAGATGTCAGTTCCTGTCATCTTTGCAGTCACACAATGTTTAATGAAGGTAAACCTATGAAGATTCACTGATGTGTTTTCCAGGTCTGTGACTTCAGAACTCTTAAACCCTCTAATCTGGAATTTGGGTTGAAAAGCACCAACTAAATTTGGAGGATGACAATATTCATTCTTTAAAAGCAGCAGATGGAATGTAATCCTTGTTCAGCTTTTCTTAGACCCCATCTGGATGCCTGGGAAAAGAAATATGAAAGAATTCAAAATGTGCATAGGCATATAAAATACAAAATAATGAGCATGCTTTTTTGTCTCAATCTAGTAAAAAATTTCTACTCCAGGGGTGTAAAAGATGTGACCTGGAAAATACTGATGTTTTTCTTTTTCAGATAAAGCCATATCTTTAAAAAAAAAACACAAGCATATGAAGATAGAAAATTGAAGCTTTGCTATATGCTAACATCTGAACGATTTAATGATTAAACAGATTTCTTTGGAGACATGTGAATGATAAAAATAAGTTTACTTTTGCTAATTTGTCCATTCAACACTTACTGCTTGTGGTTGAGATAGCTTGGTCAATTAATTATATTGCCCAAATTTTGCTTTGTTTTCTTGCTGTCCCCTCTTGGTAGTAATATGGGTGCCAACAGGCTGATCCAGCAAAAGTGTCCCACCTCTCCATATCTAGTTAACCTATCTGCAATTGTAATTCTTCTTCACGTGACAACAAATTCAGAAGTTTGGGGGGATGTTATGGTTTGCATTTGAAATATGTATAAAAGGCTCATGTTTTGAATGATTGGCCCACAGCTGGTGGCACTATTTTATACGCTTGGAAACCTGTGGAAGGTAGGATCTGGTTGGAGGTAACGGCTCACTAGAGGTGTGTCTAGTCTGAAGGGCAGACTCTGCCCAGCCCTCATCTTTACCCTGGTTGCTTCTTGTCTACAACAAAGGAGTGCCTCCAAGTTGTTTCTCATGTCATCAGATGTCCCATCACATCACATGCCCAGAAACATTGAAATCTACCAGGACAGGTTAAACTCTGAAACCATGAGCCAAATTCAGTGATTTCCCCCTTACACTGTGTCTGTCAGATACCTGGCTATAGAGATGAGAAAATCAAGCAAAACAAAGGGTTAGGACCAGGATATTATTCTAGCCTACTCTGTTGAGTTTACTTTTACCATAGCGACCTCAGAAAGAGCCATGAAAAAGTACAGATTAGATGACATCACAGCTCTATTCACAACAGTATTGTAAATCCTCATTTTGCTGTAACACAATATGGAAACAACAGCTTACTGAGTCTGTTTTTTGTTGTAAGTTTGTTTATGGTTTCAGGGCTGAGTACCCTGCATTGGACAACCAACAGGCAGGCATATCTCTGGGAGAGGTTAATCCTCCTTCTTCTGCCTGTCATCAGTTGTCTGTAGTTTCTTGGTGAGGGGTGGGCTCCCTGAAATCCTCTCCCTTTATTTTAACATGTCCATTGATATTGCCATGTTCTGGTCCTGTTTATGTGACCATTTCTAGGAGAGATTGTTTCACAGCAAACATCCTGATATTCTGTGTCTTACAAGCGTTCCAACCCTTCTTCCCTGATGTCCTCTGAGCCATGGATGTAGGAGTTGTGATTTGCTGTAAAGGGAAACTTCCTTGATGAGGGACAATAGTTACACTTACCGGTGGGTACAAGGATAAGATTTAGAATGTAGTCTTGACTTATGCTGGTCTAGCACAGCAGCAGTAGTAGATTCTTTTCCAAGATCCATAACCTCACCAGCTCTAGGAAGCTGGCTAGGTTTCCGGTACCAAGCATGATTTCCCTCTTGTTGAATGGGCCTAAAGTACAATTAGACAGGTATTGGTTGCCCCAGGCTCATAAGTACCATTTTTGCCCCTTTATGCATATCTTGCCACAATTCATAGTTGTTCAGCTGAGTTCATAGGTTGTTAATAGGTGTTGAGGCTGGATAGGGCCATTTAATTGCTTCCCTCCCTTGGCATCTTGCATAGTATTTTCTGGAACCATGGAAGCTAGACCTCAGGGAAGAGGCGTTCAGATCAGATCCTGCTTGAATCATCGAAGCCCAGTGTCCTAAGCATATGGTGTCTTCAGCAATAGGAGCCTACCCTGAACCATGGAGAGGTAGCGAGGGCCTACATTGATAATCTGTATTGTTTTGGGAGACACTTGGACAACCTATCATTCCAAAGAGGTTTCTTGTGCCTGGTACTGGGGTTTTTGTTAGTCTGGTTCTTGTGGGGAGCATTGTCAGCCCAGGTGGCTTAACTTCCTTGAGGTAACCCAGATCCAGAAAGACAAACTCCACATGTTCTTCGTCATCTGCAATGCCTAGCTCCTAATCCTCAGATGTGAATATCCAATGTGGAGAAACCACAGAAACTGGAAAAGCTATAAAGGGACCATAGGTGGGAGTGGGGGGTGGGGTTTGGGAAGGAAACAGAGTAGAGTAGAGGTGATATGAAGTAGAAAATGGAATAAAGAGGAGTGGGTTCCAAATAAAGAGGAGGTTTGGAGGTCAATACAGTAAGAGGGGGAAGGAACAGGTACAAATCACACCTGGGTTGCTCAGTAAAGCTTCAAGGAATCATATCATTTAATATTTATCTAAAATTATACACAATGCACATAAATGTATGTGTATGCCTATAACACTAATCTTTCCCTGAATTATATACAATTTAACATTTATGTTTATTTTTCAGTTAAATTGTGTGATCCTAGAGGACAGCAGATAACTTAGACACTTCTAATTTGTGCTCTGTGCCACACTCCTCTGAGAATGGAGTGTCATCTGCACCCTTTGGATGCTTACTGTTGGACGGCCCGAGCACTCAAGACCTCACTCATGAAATGATCCCTGGAGAGAAGAGATCTCGTTTCCAGATGGGAAAACCGAGGCGTAGTGGGGTTGACATTGGGATCCTCTAGTCAGTGAATGACAGGTGTGTCAAAGCTGCACCTGCTGGACCATAC